ACACACACACACACACACACACACACACACACACGCACACACACCACACACGCACATGCACATGCACGCACACACACATGCACACACACACACTCGCTCACACTCACTCAGACAAGCATCATACCAAAAACTCCCACACGCACCCATGCACATGTTGAGAGGGCTTGTACAAGTACTGACTGAAAAGTAAGGAGAATGTGAGTTTATAGATTGCGGAGGCTAAAATGCATTAATGTTTGAGAAGCTATGAGTTATGATATATATATAATATTTTTATTCCCTTCTTGTTTGTTTTTCTCCCACAGACCTAATAGGCTGTGCCCCGGGTACATATGAAACGGAAGGTATGTAATGAAGCCAATAGCAATGAAGATTATGTTATTAGCCGTTATTGATGTAGGTGTTTTTACCTTTCCAATGACACAATTTGGATCTTTTGGAGGCGGGCTTCGAATTCCTACCAGGACCAATCGGGGCCGAGAGGGATACAACATCTCCACAGAATCACCAAGATTCTTCAAAATAATTTTTTTTTAAATTAAAAAGAAAATTATTTTTAAAAGTCCCCACATGGGAATAGTACTCAGGTCTTCTATGTGCGACGGCGAAGCTCCAGACTGCTGCACCACAGCTGCGGATGCAATGAAAACAACATAGGTGACAATTTGTACTAATACTCATAGTAATGACGGTGTGTAAAAGTCAGGTGTAATCTAAGCAATTAGAAGTTACCTGTAGGGGACCTAATAATGAAGGTGTATAATGAGATCTTAAGTAATGAAGGTATGCTATGAGATCTGTAGTAACGAAGGTGTAAAATGAGAAGTGAAGATAGGTAGTGAGATGTAATGAAAAAAATTAGAGAAATAAAGGTATGTGGTGCAATCTATAGTAATGAAAATAATTATAAATGATATCTATAGTGCCGGTAATGATAATACATATTGAGATTAACAATGATGAAGAAATGTCTTCACTGCACTTGTAATTAGATTTATTGTACAGTGGTTTTGAATTGTAATGAGATCTACGTTCTACAGAAAAATGGATGAAAATGTTGTCCTTGAGCAGCTTCGTTGACCACTTACTAGTGAACAATCTGTTACAGTCATTTCAGTCTGCCAATGTGTTAACCACAGCACAGGAACAGCATTCCTTAAATCACAGATGACATGCTTGTTGACCTTGATTTAAGAAAGTTGTTTTCGTGAGCCTTTAGATCTCTCAACTGCCTTTAGATCTCTCTATAGCTATAGATAAAATTGAATATCAGATTTTAGTGAAGTGATTGGAAGTTGGAAGTTTCTTTTGGAATAAATGTGACTACCCATAGCTGATTTTCTTATTACTTATCAAAATGATACCCATCTGCTGTCATTTACAAGCATAAGTCATTACACTTTCCTCTTCATATGTATGGGCTCCCCCAGGTCCAATTTGGTTTACCATTAATGATTATGTTCAACTACTTGTCAAGGAAAGAATATGATCCAACCTTTGTAGGGTCACCTGGAGTTTTTTGTTTTTTTTAAACAGAAACGTCTAGATTTTAAGTTAGAACACACTGCATGCTTTTTATATGTGCTACCTCTGTGTATACTTTGTAAAGAGCAAGGGGTCCTGCTTTAGAATCGGGGTTAAGCACTAGAGGTCTATAGATGCCATATATTAATCATTTTTCTATAAGCAAAAGTATGCAGTGAGACCTTTAGTATTGAAGGTGTATAATGAGACCCACGATACCAAACGTGTATGATGAGAAAAAGGATGCCAAATATATGTAATGAAACATTTAAGACAAGATGAGGTGAAACAGTTGAATTGTATTATGGATATTAATTGAACTGATGTTGTGTTGATACATGGGACAAGCTGACGATACAATATGATTTGATGCGAGGTGATGTGACTTTATGAGATGTGTAAGCCTACTGATGTCTCGTATTGTGTGAGTGAAATGCTGTGGTGCTATGAAAAGGGATAAAATGGTTAAAAATAATGTTATGAGATGTGATGATAATATGAAGACACAACGACATATGACAAAGTCAGATTAAAGGGGTTGAGATGCAATTATAAACCTGCCTTCATGTTTCTCAATTTCTTTCAGTGGGTATTGGCTGCAGGTCATGTCCTGTGGGTACCTACCAAAGTATTTACGGGCAGACAGACTGTGAGCCTTGCCCTGGGGACCTGTTCACTCTTGGTCCGAGAGCTACAGACATGACACAGTGCATTGGTGAGTTCTACAATCCTACTTTATTTACAAGGCCCCTCACTCCATGACCATCTCCCAAGAAACACAATCGGAAACAGAGATCTATAGTAATTTAGTTTGATCTGTTAAGACCTTTTTACGCCGTGTGCTCTTGTCTTTGCACGCAACACTGAATATATATTATATTATAGTTTTAGTCCCATCCACCATCATCTCGTGTCTCAGTGCAGGCACGATAATTGATATATCTCGAAGGATCTTTGGAACAAAATGCAGGCTAAATTGAAACATTTATAATGTATTAAATGATTAAATGTACTCAAAGCAGTCTGGAACCTATCCAAACTAAGAGTTTTGGGTATTGCCATCAATTAACAATAACATCTATATATACAAATCACAAACAGATAGCTTGCTTATTGATTTTGATCCATCTGAATGTTTGATCATTCAAACTGACCATGATTCCTCTGCAGTAATGCAGTGTACAATTTAAAGCTGCATTATATAGATGTTTTGTCTCTCACAGGTGAATGCCGCATCTACCACTACATGTGGAGACTTTTGAGTCCAATATGATATGGGCTTCCCAATTTTACATTGTGTTTTGGAGATTTTCTTTTATGAAGCAATGAATCCAACTGTGTTTGTAGGCTACTTTTGTCTTGAGAAACTTCTCTGGCCCACATATTCAATGTTATTCCCTTGTGTTTTCTAGGTACATGTGTATTTGTTGTCAATAGAATTTATTGGTCTTCACAATTGTGCTTTTTGATAAGGCTTCTATCGTTTGTAAAATATCTTGCACAATGTGTCCTGGAGAGTTACATGTAGTTTTGTCTCTAGGTTGTCTTGTTTCTTGTTTAACTCCTACTGTGGCAATATGTTGAAATTAGGTGCTTGTCAAAATACAAAATTCGAAGAAACCAGTATTTTTTTTCCACCCATGGAGCAATTTTTATCCTTTTTTTGGGGGGGGGGTTGACACATTTTATGTTTATTTAAAAACAAATTCTTCTTTGGATTCTACTGAAAAATGTTGACAAGAGGCACAATTAATGTAAATTTGCATTCTGCAGGGACTCATAAGATGTGACACAAGACGACCCCCCACCTCTTTCAATCGCAAATATCTCGACTTCTATTCAAGATGGATGGATATTTTTAAATAAAAAACAAAACAGATGAACAAGCTTTAAGATTATATGAATAACTATATATACCCAGATATTGATAGGTGTCTGACTCCACTGTGTCTTGACATGAATTTTGCTTTCAGAAAAACTGCTTGAACTTTATTCGCTAGTCTTTATTATAACTTTTTGAACGACTGTTGTGAGCGATGTTGGTCAGTCAAAAGGTGTAAATAATTATGCCAATATAATGGAATTTCCTGCATTGAAAACATTCAAGGAATTGTGAACTCAAATGAGAATATATCAACTCTACTTTGAAGTTGACCACCTCTAGCAGGAAAAGGTCATGGTTGTGATATAAGCCTACATGGTAGTACATGTCTGTATGGTGGGAAACACAACTTTAAATTAAGAACTATAGGACACAGTCCACACATACTTGTACCTACTTACATTTATTTTTTAATGTATATACACATAATTCTTCTTTTCTTTTTTTTTCATGGACATTTCCCTCATTATTCTCTTATTCTGGTTTTCAGAAATTCCCCCAGAAAAGCGAATCTATTTCCGACTTACAGTTGAAATGGAGTACAATGAAATGTTAGAAGATGAAGTAACAGAAGCGTCCTATAACATAGTGAGTTGAGTTTGTGTAGTGTGTATTTTATGTTGTGACTGCATTTGGTCCGTGTGTGTATGTTAACTTTTAAACACAAGGGCAAATAGCATTATGCTCTTTATCGGATTTTTTAGAAAAACATAAAAGGAGAGAGAGAGAAGGAGAGAGAGAGAGAGAGAGAGAGAGAGAGAGAGAGAGAGAGAGAGAGAGAGAGAGAGAGAGAGAGAGAGAGAGAGAGAGAGAGAGAGAGACGGAGACAGAGAGAGAGAGAGAGACAGAGACAGAGAGACAAGAGACACTGAGAGGGAGCAAGAGAGAGAGAGGGGGGGAGAGAATCGGAGATAGAGACACAAGAGATGCAGAGAGAAAGAGAGAGGGAGACTGAGAGAGAGGGAGACTGAGAGAGAGGGGGAGAGAGTGACAGAGTGACAGAACAAGAGAGAGACAAACAGAAAGAAGGCAGAGATAGAGAGACCATCTACATTGTAGCTTTGTTTTGACATTATTTCTGGTAACTTATATCTTTGTTTTCCTGCACTATAATATTGTCTTTTCTTACCATGTTTCTGTTTCTTTTTAAGTATTCAATAATTTTTCAGATTCGCATGAGCCTTCCTAGGGTTTGGCGGTTCTTGGGCTTCCAGTCTCACAGCTACCAGTAAGTTCGACATTTCATAATATACGTATTGTAATCCATGGTGTATGCAGAAGTAGGAGGAATTATCTTTTCAGGATTGTTTTAAGCTGATGGAAATGGTATTGTGGCAGATTGCGCTTTGCATTTGTTTTGATCCAACTCAGCTGTTTCACATGAAACTCTCAGGCAAAAATGATGAAAGTGATAATAGTAATGAGAGCATTTGTATCCCGCCTTTCCCCACAACATAGGCCCAAGGCGTACATAGGATATTAAAAACGCATTCATACTAACACCATACAAATTCATCACGTGCGCACTTTTTGACTGCAACATTCTTTCAGACAATAAAATATGCTCATACAAAAGGGCAATTAAGGTGCTGTCCATTAATTAAAATATTTCTTAAATAGATGTGTTTTGAGTCCGCTTTTGAAGATATCAAGTTTTATTCCGCTTCTCAAATCATGAGGGAGAGTGTTCCAAACTGTTGGCCCAGAAAAAGAAAAAGCTCTCTCACCTTATTTCTTCAGTGACACACGAGGTGTTGAAATTAGTCTAGAGCCACTGGATCTTAGTTCACATGATGGTGTGTATGGTACAATGAGTTCTTGAATGTATGTGGGAGACTGGTTAGTTTGACCTTTGAAGCATAGTAGGGCTAACTTATATTCAATTCTCGCTTTCAGTTGAAGCCAATGGAGCTCTTTAAGTAGGGGAGTCACATGATGGCGTTTTGATTGCTTTAATACTAGCCTGGCAGCATTGTTTTGAATGCGTTGGAGTTTCGCAATTTTTTCTTCGGGTAGGCCAGCGAACAGTGAATTGCAATAATCAATGCGTGACAAAATGAAGGCAAACACTAGTTTTTTGGTGGCATCAGTGCTAAGAAATTTCCTCATGTGAGAAATTTTTCTCATTTCTAAGTATGAAATTTTACATAGATGGTTAAGTTGGGTCTCCATGGACAAGTCTTTGTCTATATGTACTCCAAGATTTTTTGCTTTGTTTGAAAAAGCGACAGTACCTTTGCCAATGGTGAGACATTCTACATCAAGAGCATTTATCTTTGGTATTTGGTCACACAACTGCAGCATTCAAACACTATCACCTAAGACCCTGCACTATGGTCTAGTGTACGATCTTTGTTTTCACATGCTTCATAGTAGTAGGTGTACCAGTACTTGGTTAAAACGTTTTTTAATACCCAAGTGCTCGCTCGAGTCCAAAACTCTGAGTACTTATTCTTACTTTTTTCATCCAGTGAGAGGCTTTTAGTAGAAACCAAAGAGGTAAAGCTCTTTGGTAGAAACCAAGATTTTTGCAATTTTTCATTGTTTTTCATTTATTACTGCATTGTACATTTTGTCATTGTCTTTTTCTTTTTTTTCTTTGCTCACTATTCTAATCATCTCAATCATTTCAATGTATTTGTTTGCTTTTTTCATTTTAAAATTTTGTTATTTCTTTATTATTGTTGTCATTAATTAATTGGAACAATTTAGTTAAGGCATCAACAAATTATAACACATTGAGCCTGTTTTCAGGATTTGTATACTCGACTATTCAGGTTCTTGAGTACTCACTCAAGTATTTCATAATAACTCGACTCATACTCAAGTCGAAAATATTGAACTCGAGCTCCCCTCTATTTCATATTATCTTGTATTGGGCCTTATTTCTCTCATTCTGCCTGACTCTACACACTTCCTGGGACCCAGACGGTCCTTCTTTTAAAAAGATTTTCCTGTGCTAAACACGACGTTGAACTAAAATACACCAATGATCATGGTCATACTGATCATAAGACAAGTGTTTTGTAGCGGATGTGTCATGCTGGTAAAGTCAGCAGTGTCATTTTCTGTGTCAGGTTGTGTCTCTCTGTGGCAGATTGGTAAATAAGCCTACTATAGTTTGTTTTTTATTGTTGTAAATTAACGTTTCTCACATGGCCCGTTTTCCTTTATTTCCAATATAAATAGATACAACCAGGTATTCTGAGTTAATAGAAACCACTTTAAAGGTACCGTGCAAGATAATCTTGGTCTTGTAATGTAGATCTTTTCATGCGCCCATCAACACAATTTAGATATTCAGGAAGCAGGCTTCGAACTTGGATGTCATTGTCATGGCCAACCTGGGCTGAGAGGGATACAACATCAGCAGAAAGATGGAGAACTCTGTAGAAGTCTCCCCACTAGCGAATTGAACTTGTGTCTCCAGCGTCTGGTAGTGGAGTGCTAAACCCACAACAATACAGACACTTGTCAAGATTTTCTACGGCCAAAAGCTTGTTCCACTAGAGATGATGTTGTATATAAAAGAATATGTTTCCTTTCAAAGGATTTTACAAAAAAATAGGAAAAAGTAAGGTTGAATGATGGACTTTTTTAAAACCTAAAAAAACACTGTTTCAATATACGATTCTAGTTGGATATGTTTTATTCTAGGACATTTCTGTTTTAAGGCTTGCCATAAATTACCTAATGACAGTCGATCATCGGCCTCTGAAATAACCATAGTATTTTTATTTTGGCTAAAACAGCACCTGGACATGGATGGCTGGTGCCTCTATAAATAAATCATTGATGGTCAGTATTTTTATAATAATAAATAATAGATAGATAGCATTGGTATAGCGCAAAACCCTGCTCAACAGCAGGCTCTATCCGCTTCACAATCTATACTATTACCCCAGCAGACCTGAGAGCATTCTGAAACAACTTCAACTTCCTGGGAAGCATACAGTGCAAGTGACCTTTTATAGGGTTATTATACCAATTTCATAAACAACGCCTGAGTCAATTGATGCGATTTTTTTTTCTTTTTATGAAATAGTGAGCAGATGAAGACTAATTTATTTTATTAACCCTGTATATTGCAGTGACGATGGAGGTGTCTCAGAAAGGTGAGCTTGTACTTTAAACTGTATCGGGAATTGACAACAACAATAGAGGGGTGTTGTAATATGCATATATAGCCCAAATAAACAAACTCGTTAGATTTCTTTCTAAATGATCCTGATGTTAGCTAAAATTTTGAAAGCTGAGTGTTTATGCCAACAAAGAATATGTTTTTTATATTTCATAATCCGTATCTTTTAGGAAAGATTTCACATTACCAATAACATAGAAGGGGAGGGGTTGAAGTGTTACAAGTAATTCGTCTCCCGAATTATTCGATGGCTTACATTTTTTTCTGGTAAGGAAAACATTTCTTTTTTTTTTCTGTGTTGGTGATGAGAAAATAGATTTTTGCAATATTTTTTAAAGAATTATTATTCTTTTTTTATCTCTTCCTCTGTCATCTCAACTCAACTCACCCACTTACCTCTCCGCACCTCAGTTCACTACCAAGCGAGAATTTAACTCTTTGCGTCGGCAATTATTTTCCTCTAACCTTCCCTAAACGCCGGAATTAATTTTTCCTGAGGTGCCTATTACAATAGGGTACCTTGTTCAAATTGATTCTGTTGCCATATTTTTTCAATAAAAGTATATATATTTGATATTACTGGAAAGGTAATTGAATAAGCTATCACGATCGATGGGTTGCATGTTTTTTGTGTTATTATGTAAGAGCAGTTACGTAACAAAGGGGATAGTATCTGAAAAAATAATTAAATTGGCGAGTTTTATCCAGCTTGCTGTCCCGTCTGTCCTCTTTATCCTTCTCACCTAAAATCTCCCATATCACTTCACCCTCATATCCCCCCCCC